GCGTTGTTGTCGGACCCGAGTCAAATGGTGACAGTCCGTAATAACTAAAATGTCAAAGGCCATTTAATATTTTTGTTTTTGAAAAAAATTGGCCTGCTGCTGAAAATTACGCTTTCACTCCTACTTAGTAATGCTTGTGTAGCTCCACATTGAACACAAGAACCAATCTGACTGAGAAGTAACTCTCAAAACATGAATTTTTGCCTTTGTGTGTTCTGTGGTCAGATAACCAGCTCATTGATTTGGGTTGCTGCTCAGTTGCAGGGACTCTTCATCCTCCCTGGGATGCTGCTAGAAATGAGGCAAGAAGGGGACAAGAACCATTCATTCCCTTCATCAGGAGCCCACACTTCTGTTTTATTAAGGTCACCATGGATTTTAGGTGGATGTCAGCCCTGAAAGTGATTTTTAAGTACAGTGCTGTGCTCTCTGCTTCTTTGTTTTGTAGCGCTGATGAATTTTCTCTGTGTAGGGGTGAGAGAAAAAATACATGCTTCACCTTTCTTCCCTTGAACACTCAGTCCAAACCTGTGAGAGTATCAGCTCATCTTAGTAGCTTCAATTTAAATGGCAAAGCCTGTATTTAAATCTTGGAGGTAAACATGGATTCTTTTCTGTCTTTTTCAACTTTTCAGAGGCTATTAACTTGAAAGGTAGTGTAGCACCAAGTCAAATTTCAGGCTTTGTAATTAGGGAGTAGCATTGTAATTCACTTGTCAACCAAATTCTCTTCATTTCTGAGGTGTGAAAACTAGTTGTGTTACTTATGTAAAATAAACTGTCACAGGGCAAGTCTGTGATAGAGCTGAGCTTGATTTATGGTTCTGAAAATATGCTGCTCATTTACAAGCCCATGGTGTTTTCTTGCTTTACTTACATCTGCTTCTGCTTTTAGTTCGTGCCTATCAAAGTAGGCTCCTTTTTCTGTACTGTTGTGTTCTTATCACTGAACCAGTTGGGTAAAGAAATTGTTGCCTTTCTTCTTTCTTGATTTAGCACTTCGTTTTGTTGCTCTATAGTTGAGACTTAAAATGTATTGTGGAACTGTGTTAAATATTGTGTTTTGTATCCAGTGGAAAAGCTTAGTCTTTAAATCAAGGGGAATACAGAAAACTGAGAAGTATCAACTGCCACATGCTTTTCTTCAGACTCTGATTTTTCCTGTTTTGGGAAAAGCAGCAAATTATGATTTGCATGGAGAATGACATTCATGCTGAAGTGGTAGTACCTGAAAGTTAGATTGTTATGTTCAGTTTCAGTCACACATGGCCTTTGTTTGAAGTCCTAGGGAAACTTCTGCTTAAGAACAAACAAAAACAAAGAACCCCAACCCATCACCTACCCTTGAAAATTCAATTTCCTGAAGAGCTAGGCTGAGGAAGTTTTGCCTGTTTTAAGGAACATTACAACTGTATTAAGTACTTGAAACCAGATAACTTGTTCACCTTTTAAAAACATGATCATTTACCTTGAATCACGTGTTCCATTTTGATATCCTCTTTCATATAGAAAATATAGCATGAGATGTCAGTTGAAATGGGAGTCTTAACAATGCTCTATCTTCTATGTGAAAGGAAATACTCTGTACATTTTTCCATGTTTGACATCATGGTGTTTTGAATAACCATGTTCCATATTTCATATCAATTTTTTGTTTTTGTTTTCAATTTATGCACAGCACTTGCTCTGAAATTTGGGGACTGAGTACATCAAACACGATAGATCAGTGGGATACAACAGGCCTTTACAGCTTCTCTGAACAAACCAGGTGAATATTCTGCCCTCTCATCACAGAAATCTTGTGGGAGGGATTGGCTTTGGAGGGTCTGTAATGGGATGCTTGAGCTGTAAAATAGACTAAATGCTTCCTAGGCCTCTCATGGTACAGCATTTAAAAATATTTGCTTGCCTGTGTAGAAGTCTTAAGTGTTCTCAGCTGATGTTTTGACCAATGAAACTAATTCTGGAATATTCCTGCTATTGAACGAATGGGAAGACTTGTTAAATGCAAGCTCCAATGGGATTTGGTATTTTTATTAACAAAGTTGGGGAACTTAATTCTTTAGTCCTAATCTTACAAAGTGTTTAAACTGTTTTGTATGCCACAAGCTTTCAATTAAATCTTGCTAATTGGCTCAGGTATGAGCTACTAAAGAATCGCTTGTAAATTCTCCAATAGCTCATGGTGGGGAAATTTGAAACAGGGTCTTTTTTTTTCATGTCACATTCCTTAATTTGTGTATTGATGTTTGTCTCCCATCCCATAACAGTCATAAACATCTGCATTTGTGTAAGCATATACAGTCTGTCTTAAAAGTAGCAAACCATTTTCAGCTGGTAGCAAGGCAAGATGAAGTCAAGAAGACAAACTATACAGCCCCTACAAGATCTGGATTTATGCCTTTTGCATTTACACTGTCATGTGGATCACTTGGCCAGCTTGACTGCTTAGGCTTTATTTGCAATCTTGTGGGAATTCTTCTGCTTAAAGCCGTAAAGCATCCATGCCACAGCAAAGCCTTGAGGTTTAGAAGCAAAATGGACTGTTAAATGTGTGATTTCATTTAATTTGTTTAACAACTCTCTTCATTTAAACAAAAATAAGTAGATTCAGCAATTATCCTAAAGACTTGGTTGGAGGTCAAGTGGCTTCTAACAAACTCTAAATTTGAGCAAGAATTTGAGCAGCTCAAAAAGAAGACACTGCTTTGAGTCCATTTTGATCGCATTTGAAGCTTCCTAATGTCACTAGCAGTGTCAATCCACCTGAGTTCTGAAATGAAGTGCTCATCCCATGTGTGTAGAGTGTTGCTGGAGTGGTTGGGGAGTGCAGTCTGTAAATCCCTCTCCACATCTTTCCCCCCTGTAGATCCCTCGATGGCCGCCTGCAGGTCTCTCACCGCAAAGGGCTCCCACATGTCATCTACTGCCGGTTGTGGCGCTGGCCAGACCTTCACAGTCACCATGAACTCAAAGCAATTGAAAACTGTGAATATGCTTTTAATCTTAAAAAGGACGAAGTATGTGTAAACCCTTATCACTACCAGAGAGTGGAGACACCAGGTAAGATGACTTCTGACTTGCTGGAGCAGCTGAGTTGTTCATAGGTTTAGGCATTAGGAGGAAATTCTTTGCTGTGAGGGAGGTGAGACCCTGGCCCAGGTTGCCCAGAGAAGCTGTGGCTGCCCCATCCCTGGCAGTGTTGAAGGGCAGGTTGGATGGGGCTTGGAGCAACCTGGGCTGGTGGGAGGTGTCCCTGCCCATGCAGGGAGGTTGGAAATAGATGATCTTGAAGCTCCCTTCCAACCCAAACCAGTCTGGGTTTCTATAGAAAAAGGTGATACTTTCTTCTGCCAAAAAGCCCAAGATTGTTAGAGATCAAGCTTTTCAGAATACCATGCCCTGAAAGTTTTTAATAGTGAAGTGACTGAATAATCTTTACAAATGTGTTGAATATCCCTGATAAATGCTTTGAGTATCTCCAGCAGTTTCTGGCTGGCTAAGTATGATCTGGATTGAAAAGGAAAGAGAGGTGACTCTGCTGATGTGGAATAGTCCTACTAAAGAGGCACCTGAGGAATCCATTTCTTCCAGTACCTCAGAAGACGATTGCAGCATTAGCAGTATTGAGCTTCAGAACATTTCAAAATATGCGAAAAAATGGTCAGATGTTAGAATTAAATGTGAATTGATTGTTAGAATTTTTAGATTATGGGTTTTTTTTCCTATGAGCTCACAGAAATATGTATTTTGGGGGTCTTAATAATGCTTTGAATTTTGCTTTTCCAGTCTTGCCTCCTGTACTAGTGCCCCGGCACACCGAGATCCTAACGGAGCTCCCTCCTCTCGATGACTATACCCATTCCATTCCTGAAAACACTAATTTTCCAGCTGGAATTGAGCCACAGAGCAACTACATCCCAGGTATTTTCTCAGCTCCTTCTGTCAACAGTACATTCAACATTGTGCTAGTGGAACAAAGATGACCATTTCACCCTCCTAAGTAATTGAAAGACCCACCTAGAAATTAAATCTGCTTGATTTAGTGTTTTAATTCCAGTGGAAATAACACTGTTGTTTGCAGAACACAAACCTGTGGGAGGTCATATTGCTGTGGTTTCACAATAGCTTCTTTGGTTTCAGGAGCTTCTTCAGGATTCAGAATGCTAAGGATTACCAAGTAGACCTTTACCTTATGCTTTAAGCCTGGTTTACAAACCTATAAGGGTGGTCAAATGCTGTGTACTGGAAAGGGAGTAGTAAACTGCAACTCAATCTCACTGTGTGTGTTATGTGCAGAAAACTAAGTTGCAAAACAGTGACTTAAAGTGTTTTGATCTGTAACTCACAATTGATCAAGGTCTGTTTTGTGTATTTGCTGGTTGTGTGCACTCAGTTTTGTCTTCAGTAGGAATGAACAACCTAACAATGCTGAGCCCTTAAAGAATTCCTCCTCCCCCTCTTTGCCTCTTCTCCACCTCAAAACAAATACCAAGAGTAATCCACTAAGGTGCACCTGAAAACCTGTAGCCTTATTGAAACATAAAATCAGTGACCTTTGTTTCCTGCCCCAACTTCCTGTTTCCTATCTCTTCAGAAAGTTGCCTGGAGTGTAAAAACCAATCAAAGCTGAAGTTTTCTCATAAATCTGCAATGCAGTTATGTTGCAAACAAGCTGAAAACTCAGATTCACATATTCATAGATTCAGTCACTGGAGTTGGAAGAGACCTCTGGAGATCATCTACTCCAACCCCTACAGCAGATCCCACAGGAATGTGTCCAGATGGGTTTGGAATGTCTCCAGAGAAGGAGACTCCACAACCTCTCTGGGCAGCCTGTCCCAGGGCTCTGTTACCCTCACAATAAAGAAGTTTTTCCTTCTGTTTAACTTGAACCTCCTGTGCTCCAGCTTGTGCCCATTGCCCCTTGTCCTGTCACTGGACACTGCAGAAAAGAAACTGGTCCCACCCTCCTGACACCCCCTTTAGATACTTATAAGTATTTGAGATCCCCCTCAGTCTCTTCTTCTCCAGGCTGAACAGCCCCAGCTCTCTCAGCCTTTCCTCAATGGGGTAGATGCTTCAGTCCCCTCATCATCTTTGTGGGCCTGAGCTGGACTCTCTTCAGTAGTTCCTTGTCCTTCATGAACTGGGAAGCCCAGATCTTGACTGTCATGAAGAATAAGAAGACTTCTTTGAAACTCAGATATGTTCAATTCACAAATTGTATCTATATGTGTTAAATGGGATGTTCTTTAAATGTATCTAAGAATTGAAATGGCACCAATAAAATGTCAATTTAATTTCATCTGTTTAATTTGTGCCATGTTTGTTACCAGCAAGGAACAGCCTATCTTCAAAGAACAATTGAAGGTGCTAGAAGTTGGTGGTCCTTTCTTATGTATACTTTTTTGACTCCATCTGAGGGCTTTTGGAAACATTTGCAAATGAATGACTGGAAAGCCACCATTTGGAAATCCAGTGCTGTGGAAATGAGCTGAAGCAGCTCTAGGTAGTTATTTGCAAGGACGATTGTTCAGGGTGACTGTGGGTATTCACATGATTCCTAGATGTTTATGCATCTAACCACACCTGGCCTCCTTCCCATTGTCACTGATTCCCTCCTGTTGTATTCATATCATGGCATCTTACTTTGTTTGACCTCGTTAAGTTAATCTTGACTGCTTAGCCAGGCTCTGAGAAGTCTCTTGTCTCTTGAGAGAACCATTTTGTTCAGGCTAACAGCTGTGCTAGTTTTGCGCTGCAAAACTGCCTCATTACTTGGTCTGCAGAGGGGTTGGGTTCACCTCCAGGTGGGAAGATGGTGACTATGAAGGTACAGGATGGACTTCATAGAATCCTTGTGGTTGGAAAAGACCTTTAGGATGATTGTGTTCAACCATATCCTAACTCTACCAACCATTAGCTCAACTCTACTGTGTCTGGTGCTTAAACCATGTTCCTCAGCACCACATCTACACATCTCTTAAACCCCTCCAGGGATGGTGATTCAACCACCTCCCTGGGCAGCCCATTCCAGTGTTTAATTACCCTTTCAGTGAAGAAGTTTCTCTTAATATCCAATCTCAACCTCCCCTGGCACCACTGGAGCCCATTTCCTCTTGTCCCATCCCTTGTTCCTGGGGAGCAGAGCCCGACCCCCCTGGCTCCAACCTCCTCTCAGGCAGTTGCAGAGCCAGCAGGTCTCCCCTCAGCCTCCTTTGCTCCAGGCTGGACACCCCCAGCTCCCTCAGCTGCTCCTCCTCACACTTGTGCTCCAGCCCCTTCCCCAGCTCCCTTGCCCTTCTCTGGACATGCTCCAGCCCCTCCATGTCCTTCTTGTCCTCAGGGGCCCAGAACTGACCCCAGGATTCCAGGTGGCCTCCTTTGGGACTGGATGTTCCTCTTCCAGTTATGGATGTGCTGAGCTGCATTGTCCAAACCTCTAGCAACATTCAAGCTCTGCTAAGGATTTTTAATGCATCCTCTTGGGCATTTGTTTCCAGCTGTGTTGGTGCTCAACCTCTGATCTTAAAACAGTATTAATAGTATTAGGTGGAGGAAATCTTCTCTGTTCAGACAGGGACTAGATATGGAAAATAATCTGTGCCAAAGAGCCAAGATTAGCAACTGGAAACAGGAGGTGTGGGTTGGATTGGAAATGACCATTGACCTTTTAACATGGCTGTGGGCTTAACTATAATGAATCGTTTGGAGATGGGTGGAGTCCACTTTGTCATCATGAATTCTGTAAAAACGTTCAAAACAAATATCTTTTTTGTCAGCATAGTTCTTGCTAGCAAAGATTTCCCTTAATCTTCATTTTAAATTCTCATTTGAGTTTTGTCACCTCTATATTTAGCACACTAGTTTTAGAGAATGAACCAAAGATCTAATTCTTTCAGTTCATTTTTATTTAATCAACTGACTTCATCTAGTTTCCTCTTGTTGACTTCCTTCTGATCTTTAGTGCTGTAAACCTCAAGCATTATATTTAATAGAATTTGATTTTAATTCTTTAGTAAAAGGCTTTATTTCTAAATTTCTGCTGTTTGGTAATCATGTAATTAAATGTGTTTAATCTCTCAGATGTCTCAGAGAATTCAAAGGTGGTTCTAGAGATATTTAGCTTCAAACACTTCCACTAAAGAAATCCAGATTTTGCCTTTAATGTAGAGGAAAAGACATTTGCCAGCTCTCGCAGGGGGGTTGGACTAGATGATCTTTTGAGGTCCCTTCCAACCCCTAGGATGATGTGATTCTGTGAAAGAAAATTATTTCCTGAAAGGCAGTTGGTTAACTTGTTATCTGAATCACAAAATACATTGTGAATGGAGAAAAGGAACAACCATCCTGGGTTTTGAAGATACTCCTGTGGAATTAAACACAGTTTTTAATATCAGAATGCTTCAAACTTGTTACTGAGTTTACTTTGGTTGGTGAAACTCCATTTTTAAATGAAGCTAGTTCAAAGAATAGATGAAACAGAATTTTGAGGTGGTAGTAATAATAATAGAGCTTGTGCAGCATAACTAGTTAGATAATATGGTTATCATTAATTAGTGAAATCAACTGTTGGGCATTGAAAAATGGAACTGAAAAATAACCTTTAAATCTTGCAACTTTGTTAAGGTGTGGGAGGGTGGCTAATCTGATGGTTATACTACATAAAGGCAGCTCACTTTTTTTTTGATAGAAGTCACCAGATGGGTTTTTTCATTTGTAATTCTGCTAAATGTGAAAGCTGTTGATCACAGTTGCAAAATTATTACTCATTGTAGTAAAAGTATCTTGTATTAAATGGAACAAACAAGGATTAATCTGTTAATTATCAAACATATTTGAGCAGTTGACTGGCATGCAAGAGAGGATGGATTTTCAACAGACAATAAGGCAGGTAAATGGGTTTGAAGTCCTACTGGAAGGCAAAAGGGACAGCAAAATGACATTAATTCAATTTTCAGGTGTTACTTGTGAAAACTTAAGGACAAAACCCCCAAATGCTCAGTCACTGAACCAATAGGTGTTGGGTTGGTTTTTTTTGACAGAAACACCACCTCCAGGATATATCAGTGAAGATGGAGAAACAAGTGACCAGCAGTTGAACCAAAGCATGGATACAGGTAACATTTCCATTACTTTAAAGACCTGGGATTGCTAGTTGTGATCCCTGTGCATGAGTGGCTGAATCCAGTCTTGAATGATGATGGCAGTAGCCTTCTCTTCAACCTGGTAGTTTTGGTTTAAAATATCACTTCCAGTGTTTTGTGAAGAAAATGATTCTTTTTAAAATTTTCTGTACCATCTGATTTCATTTGTTTCATAACAAAGGCAAACAGGTCTTCATCAGAAAGCCTTAAAATAGATTTTATTTCAACTTACCCCCAACTTTACCTCCTAGTAAAAAGTTCATTGGAGGAAAATGCCTGTTGGGCTTAAACAAGCTACAGAAATGCTGTGCTTTGAGAAACTGTCATGTTTTATCCCTTGTGCCATGTTTCAGATGAATTATTATATGATAGGCTCTACTGAAAGAGTAGTAGAAACATGAAGCATTTTGTCTTTGTGTGAAAGGGCTGGTAGATAATCTGGTTGGCCTTATACTTGGACAAAACACAGTTAATGTGCTGGGTAAGGACCTCCTGCTGTGTGCTGGCAGACTGGAGCCTGTGTTTGGTGAGCTCATGATAGCAACCTTTTTCAGTTCATTGGGATCAACTGCACTAGTTTCTCTTAAGAACTGCAATATTTTCCCACTAGGTGACAATAGGTACCTTAATTAAAAAGGCCTGAATTAAAAAGTCATTGTAGGAACGTTTCTGAGCACAGCTTCACTTTATTTTGTCTACTAGTGCACAAACTGTGTTGGAGAGCTCATGGTTTGTTGAGGTTTTTTTTCCTTCCTCATTCCAGGAAAGAATAATTGCCTCAAATGAGAAAATCCAGCTTGTTTTGGAGTTTCCTTCTCTGGAGACTTTCTCTGGATGCCTTTCTGAGTGATCAGCCCTAGTTTTTTGGTTCTGCTCTGGCAGGGGGGTCGGACTCTATGATCTTCAGAGGTCCCTTTCAACCTTGACATTCTGTGATTCTTTTCTAGAGATAAACCCTATCCTTTGAGAGAGAGAGAGGGCTAATGTCTTGATTGTCTTGTCCACTTTTTCTTAGCTTTTTTTCCCTGGATTTGGGAAGAGGTCACTACCTTCTCCCTAAATAAAGTTCTGTGCACAAAGTGAGAGCTCTGCCCATTACAACACAAAAGATATTGAGTTGATGAGTTCCGAGAGTCTGGAAAATGTCATCTTCATTCAGAATAAGCATGTGACTTGCTGGCAAACTGGTTGTAGGATTTTTGAGGTTTCTAGTCCTCTTTCCCCAGTCAATCATAGCCTGGGTAAGCTGGAAATCTTTCTAATTGTTTCTGTCTGTGTGATGACTCTTCTTTAAATATATATATATCATTGCATTAAAAATGAACATGTACTTTAAAAGAGCAAGAGGTGTATTTGGAGGAGGCTGTTGGGTTGGCTTCCTGATGATAAGCATAGTGGGGCTGGGTTAATAACTTGTTAATAACCACTCTATTTTTGTAGCTGTTGAGCTTCTAGCAAAGAGAAGAATATTATTGTATGTGCAGGAAAAGCATTTATAAAATGAGCAGTTGAAAGGACATTATCCTCTCAGTGCTCAGACTTGGTGTCTCCCTTGGATGTGTGTCCTACTGCTCTTCTCATGTGCTGTTTCACCTGTGGCCACAACACAATGGCTGCTCCCACCTGCTTTGATCAGGTGCCACTGCTGTGTGTCTGTGTAAATGCCTCAGGAAGATCAGATTCCCTTGGGTTTATTAAAGGAATGGTGACAAGATGTGACAGGAAAATGCTGCTCAGAACACTGAGTAAGTAATTAGGGTTGGTGAAAAGGGGAAGCAGGGCAGGAAAAGCTGAAGATGCACAGGGAAGATACTGAGCTTTAGCAGGGGAGCGTAAAAAGGAGCTTAGAGCTGCCTTTAGATAAAGAAACAGCATCAGATATGGTGTGGAACAGCATTTTCATATTAATATTTTTCTCCTTTGTGTGGTTCAGAGCTTGATAGTTTAATCTTAACGTTGCCAAAATGTTTGTGAGTTACAGAAAGGCAAGAGTAATGTCCCAGTGTCTGGCACCCACAGGAACATTAGCTTAATCATTTTGTCAAGCAAAATGCAAGTACTGAACTACATGAGCTGTGGTTAGATTAGATCACCCCTCTTTCCCCTCCTCCTTCCTTTATGTGGAATATTGAATTCCATTCTGTTTACGGGGTAGGTAAAAATGGCAGCAAAGCAAAATAGAATTGAAGTTGTTTGAGGAGACCACCACTTCTGTTGCTGGAAGAGGTAAATAGGGCAGAGATTTCAGCCTCAAATTCTGTGCTAAACTTGGAGTTTTTAAAAATGGTTTTATTTCTTTTTTAGATTTGCAACCAGTTACTTACTCGGAGCCTGCGTTTTGGTGTTCAATAGCATATTATGAATTGAATCAAAGAGTGGGAGAAACCTTCCATGCATCACAACCTTCCCTGACTGTAGATGGTTTTACAGATCCATCAAATTCAGAACGATTTTGTCTAGGTCTGCTTTCCAATGTCAACAGAAATGCTACAGTGGAAATGACAAGAAGACACATAGGTAAAAATCTCTGACCTTTTTTCACTTCAGTTTAACCATGAAATTATCTGGAATGATCCAGGCAGGATGGGAAGCCACTCAGTTATATGGAATTTCTGTTGCTCAAATTGCTGTCCCTCCTTCTGGAAAAAGTCAATCCACCAAGGCATCCCAAAGGGGAAGATTTTTGGCTTCAAGCTCATTGGACCTTGTGCAGCATTTCTGTTCAGAGTTGCTTATCATTGACATTTAACCTTTCATTACAAAATATGAGCATGTTGCTTAGTTTATTCTCATTTATAAACTGCAGAATGGACATGGGAATCCCTGAATTCTTGAATCCTTGAATTCTTTCCTGAAATGGGAAAAGCTGCCATTGAGTTAACATACTGCTTCAACATGATCAAGATGTTCACTGTAATAGTTAGTAAACAATATTGTTTTCCACAATGCAGCGTCTTGGCTTGAATTTCTTAATTAAACTACTTTTTTTTTTTTTTTTCCTCTTTCATTTAGCAACATCCAGGAGATGTTTTTGTTTTTACTTCTAGTAAAAAAGTTCAACCTCTTTTAGTGTAGGACCTTCTGACTTCCTCTAAGCCAAATCCAAATGCTTGTCTCATAAACTTGTAGATGTGCAGAAAACCAGGCTGTGCTTGTGCTAACTGATCAAAGTGGTCAATAATGAGGGAAGCAAACATGTCAGGAGCTCTGAATGTTTGATAGAGCAGCTCACATTTCATTTGCAAAATAGTTTGAAAGAGAAAGGGGAGAGGATCTATGACCTCTAAAAAGGACATGTTAATTGTAAACAATTTTCTCTGGGAGATCAATTCTACATTGTCTCTTTTGTGCTACAAATAATGCATAGAGAGTTTTATTCTCAGGTAGAGAACAAGATCACCATTTAAAAGTGAGCAATAGGATTTCTAGTGGGTATTTCTTGTTAATAGGGTTAAATGAAGGCCTGGCTTTTTTGTCAAAGTAGCACAGAGGGGTGTGCAGGTGGTTGTGAAAAATTGGGTGCATATAAACAGAGACATCCCTTTCTTGCCATTGTGGCCTCTGTCACTTCACATATGACACCTGATATTAGCACAAATTTGGCTTCTCCTGGATCTTAATATTTTACAGGTTGAGTGAGTTGGAGGTGTTCAGCCTGGAGAAGAGAAGGCTCCAGGGAGACCTTAGAGCACCTTCCAGTGCCTGAAGGGGCTCCAGGAAAGCTGGGGAGGGGCTTGGGACAAGGGCAGGGAGTGATGGGATGAGGGTTAATGGTTTCAGACTGGAAGAAGGAAGATTTAGGTTGGACATTAGGAAGAAATTCTTTCCTGTGAGAATGGTGAGACACTACCCAGAGAAGCTGTGGCTGCCCCATCCCTGGCAGTGTTGAAGGGCAGGTTGGATGGGGCTTGGAGCAACCTGGGCTGGTGGGAGGTGTCCCTGCTCATGCAGGGGGGTTGGATCTAGATGGCCTTTCAGGTCCCTTCCAGCCCAAACCAGTCTATGATTCTATGATTTTTATTTCAATTTTGATATTTCTTGAAGTGGATAAGATTTTTGGTAGTGAGCACTGCTTCCTAACTCGGGTTTGGTTACAATCTCATACATGACTAGAAAGTTCTTTCTCACTTGCCCCAAAAAATGATTCTGCTTCTACTTCAAACATTGTGTCTTGGTGGGAGAAAAATGCCAGTTCATTGTGTTCTGCTCCAGCAGTGTGATCCTCTAGAGAACTGATTGCTGTTAGGAAGAAAAACCTTGGGCCTTCTCTGAGACCAAAATACTTGGGTCATCTCCTAACTAGAGGTCCTTTAACTCTTGCTCCAGGAAGGGGAGTCCGTCTCTATTACATCGGGGGAGAAGTTTTTGCCGAGTGCCTCAGCGATAGCGCCATTTTTGTTCAGAGCCCCAACTGTAATCAAAGATACGGCTGGCATCCTGCAACGGTGTGCAAAATTCCACCAGGTTAGTAGCCCCCCAGAAAGGTCCCCTCCATTAATACATCCCCCTGGATGTATTAATGGGGTACATTTGCTTCCCTTGTGGTGGTTTCTTCAGAGCTCTGGGCTCCCGTGTAGTGAAAACAAGTGGTGGTTGATTGTTCGTTTGTATCGATGTATCATTTTGATCTGTTGTTTCTTTTTCTTGACAGGATGCAATCTAAAAATCTTTAATAACCAAGAATTTGCTGCTCTTCTGGCTCAATCTGTGAATCAGGGTTTTGAAGCAGTTTATCAGCTTACTAGAATGTGTACTATAAGAATGAGTTTTGTTAAAGGATGGGGAGCTGAATACAGGTAAGAAAAAAGCCTTTCCTTTTCAATTGAGAGTTAATAATTGTTCTTTTTGCACTCCTACATGATTTCTTGATTTGAAAGCCACATGTACACGCTTCTTACTGCTACTATAGATAATCTCCCTGCAAGGTGAACCCATATTTTCCTTTTTCTCCCCCTCAGCTGTGGAGCTCCTAAGTCATAGAAACTAGTAAACTGATTTTAGTGTTGCATTGAAGTCAGCTCTTGAGCAAGGAATGTTGTCAAATTCCATTTCCTTCCTCAGTCCTGCTTCCTTGTGTATTGTGGTGAAATCACTGACAACATCGAGAAGTTTCACAGTTTGTGCTATGAGATTATTTGCTGTTTGTTACAGCAGATGTACAGTCATTTTGGTCTCTGTCCTGTTTTGTATGGAGCTTGAGTGTGTTAGGTTGTGGTGCAGGATGCATTTGACACTTACCTGATGGAAAGAACTGGAATCACCTGGAGTGCATTCTGCAGGATTAACCAGCTGGAGGACACACATTTAAGGGTTGACAAATATTTTGGAACTTGTAGTGGAAAAAACTTCTCTGGAGTAAGATGACTGTATTTGTGTAGTAAAACTGCCAAAACCAGTTTTTTGAGTGGGGGGAAAAAAAAAATAAATTTATTTGCCTTTGAATAGATTAAAATTGTATTCTCTGCTAGCACAAACCAAGAGCTATAGTTAGGGACAATGCCTGTTTTTAATATATATGGGAATTTGAGAAGAAAAAAAAATTACTTTTAACTGAATGCTGTTAAAAATGTCAGTTTGGAGAGCTGGAGATGTGGTTTTAAACAAACCCCTTAAGCCTCTAGAAATTGTGCAGTGAAAGAATGAAGCCTGACATACCAATACCCTATTGATATGCCTAATGTTTTCTTGAAAATCCATATTACTTCTGAAGCTGAGGAATTCCATGTGGATTCCCCTGTGAATCCTGAGGTTCTGATTCTTTTGTCTGCTCTTGAAACACATCCATGTCAATACCAGCATCAGCACAGGGGGGGAAGCTGCTTGGCTAAGTGAAGCCAATTTTGTAAAATCCTAATTAGATGAAATGAAGAAATTTGAGTAATGGAATAAATTGGGACCTCTTTGTTAGCAAGAGGAACACAAGAAAGGATCTGGCTCAAGTTTAAAGAACTGTTGGATTTGGCTCCAAAGATGTATACACTTAAGGCATAATTAAATGCAACATTCAAATCAGAATAGCAGAAAAGCTTAATCAGTCAGATGACATGGAGACAACTTGAAGTGAATGGAGTTGTTAAATGCTGGGTTAAAACAGTGGGGGGAGGCTTTTGGTAAAGCTTTTTCTTAGGATGGAAATTGTTGGATGTTAGTAGTCTGTAAACCCTTCAGAAATCAGAGGGTTGAAAAAGCTCCAGTGGCAACAGCCCAGAAACTGATTACTGACAGATGGTGCTAAGAAATTATTGATGCACAAAACTTGCAAGTTGTGATTAAAGCAAGGAGAGGTTGCTCCTGCAAACACAACCTTGAGTGTCAATGTAGTCTGAATTGTCAGAATAGACCAGGAAGCTGTAAAATCCATCATTCTTCAAACTCCTGTGCTTTGTTGTTATGTCCAAAAGGTTTCTCGTATCACAGGTTTTGGCAAAGCTGAAGAGAAGCCACCAAGTTGGTGAAGGGTCTAGAGGACAAGTAAGTCATAAGAGGAGCAGCTGAGGGAACTGGGGTTGTTTAGTTTGGAGAAGAGGAAGCTGAAAGGAGACCTCATTGCCCTCTACGACTACCTGAAAGGAGGTTGTAGGGAGGTGGGTGTTGGCCTCTTCTCCCAAGTGAATAATGACAGGACCAGAGCAAATGACCTGAAGTTGCACCAGGTTCAGGGCATGTTCTGGTGGCTGAGGTTGGGAGGGGGGGCTCTGGGTCTTTTTTGGTGGAGTGTGGGTGGTTTTTGTGTTTGTTTGGGTTTGGTTTTTTTGTGCTGATGGCTGGACTGGGTGATCTCAGAGGTCCTTTCCAACCTTGATGATTCTGTGATTACTTCATTTTAGGCATCTGTGCATAAACATGCAGACATGGCAAGGTGATAGATTCTATAAGTTTGGGCAGACAAAGTAGCTTTTTGCTTCATACATGTTGGTTTGGATTAAGGCAAAAGTTCAGCTCAGCAGCCAAGTGTTCACATTAGCACAGGAACCGTCCAGGTCTAGGATCATCTTCCAAAGAAAGTTCAGTAGAGGTAATTACAGCCAAGAAATTGAGTGATACACAAACTGGAAATCCATGGGGAGGAGGCTGAGTTTTAGCTTGGAGGCAGCTGCTGTTTGTCACTGTTTTATTGACTTTGCCAGTGGAGTGCAAAGCCAGGGCTGTTGAACAGTAAACTTTTGAGGAAGTGTGCTGTGGAACACATTGTAGGGGAGTTGACAGCAGGGGAATAATGAACTTCCTACTTTGGGAGAGGATTTGGGCCTAAATGGAATGACATTTCCTGTGGTTTAGATTGTTCTTTTATTGGATCACTTTGTTTTGGCAGGAGCTTTTGGGGCTAAGATAACAATGTTTTTTAGAGTGCTGAGGGAGCTCAGACCCCAGCCACTTCCTTCTAGAAAATGTGAAACCACAGACAAGTTCTTGAAATCCATCCTCTCACTGACTTAGTCCTTCTGCCTTTTCACTTCCTCTGTATAAACAGATTTCCTTAAAGAAAAGGGTTGCAGTCCTGAGAGTAAAAGTGAAGGGGCTGGGTTTGTGTCTGATCTGCTGCCTTTGAATCTGAATTCCTCCTTGCTTTGACTTTGGAGGATAGTTAGAATTACTAGGAAAAACTGGCTGAGCAACAGCCAGTTTGGTTTGGGAAAACTCCCATGCCTGGAGTAGGTAGAGTGAAATACCAGGATTTCTCAGGCAGAGTGTATCCAATATTGATTGCCTTCCTTTGGAGATGAGAAGGAGGATTTTTTTTTTTAATAACAGGTCTCTGAAACAAGGATATATGGGAGTGGGAATGAAGCCTTTCTGGCTGTCAGTCCTTCAGCTTTACTGAGACTTTCTGTTTGATGTAGGGCTTCAGTTGTGGAAAGTGGCAAGCAAGTTGAGAAAGCAGAGAAGGGAAACACTATTTTTACTGAAATTGTTTGTGTGAGGATGTCACAGTACAAAGCACACGCAGAAGTGTAAGATGTCAGGAAATCAGAGATAAAGTTTGGTGTTCCTTTGAGATAGCATCAGCACAGTACAACCACACACTGTGTTTTGAAGTAGTGTTTCTCACAACATCTAGCAGTTTCCTTACATGTTTATCTTGTTGATTGCTCCACAAACTCAGCCCTTATAATTGGGGTAGGACTGTGCTGTTTGGCCATGCTGGCAGTGCAGAGCCAAGTGGCTCTATCCCATATTTCTCAGTAGTTGTCTACAAAATTCAAACCCAGTTATGCATGCAGGCTCTTTGAATCACTGAATAATTTGGGTTGGAAAGGACCTTGAAGATCATCTAGTTCCAACCTCCCTGTCACAGGCAGGAAGTTTGAACTCTGTGATGTGAATATCGTGTTGGTTGGAGAATCTTCAGTTTTGAATTTCTTTTTAGAAGTCAAGTCTTATTTATTATACACCTGAAGCAATGCTGCAGTTCTTCTCTAGAGCAGAATATTCTTCATGTAACAAAGAGTGTCATTATTGTTGTCTTACAGATGTGGGGTGTTCATGGGTGCTTTGTTTGGCTTTTGTTTGTAATAATTCAAAGACTGAATGAAGCTTAGTAACAATTCTGTTAATGGTTGCAGATTTTTATATTTTGGCCTAGCAGATATGGATGATCATGAGATGGAGAAATTGATGGCAGCCAAAACTGCTTTCTGACTTTTCCTCTTCTTGGTTTTCTAGACGACAGACAGTAACAAGCACTCCTTGCTGGATTGAGCTTCATCTGAATGGACCTCTACAATGGTTGGACAAAGTATTGACTCAAATGGGCTCCCCTTCAGTACGCTGCTCCAGCATGTCCTAAAACAACTCCTTCCCTTTACCACTGGGCTTAAAAATCAAGTCCAATCAACAGACTTAATATAACAGCTCGTCTGTCATAGTATTTGTGTGTGGTCCCCATGAACTGTTTACTATCCAAAAAGGTTTCTACAAAAAAAAAAGGAAAAAAGAAAAGAAAAGAAAAACAGCACTTGAGGTCTCATCAGTTAAAGCACCTTGTGGATTCTGTTTCCTATACTCTGATACTAGATGAAAATGTAGTGTATAGAAATGCCTTCTTCAGAAAGAAGAAGGGGACAGTTCTAAAGATTCTTAATGGTGTTTTTATTGGGTATATAATTGAGTGTCCTAATGGTTTATCAATAACATGAATAGCTAAGTATATGTACAGGTAATGTATCATGATCTCAAATATCACAGTATTGTGCTGTTCTACATTTTAGTTCCCATAAATAGTTGTTTGTTGGTTTTTTTTTTATTAGGGCAAACCTCATAAAATTCCAAGATTCTTCTCCTTTATTCTTTTATATTTTTTTATATAAGCAGGTTTTTGAGTTGTCCTCAACATAAAAAGCAGACTTTCCTAGTAGAAAAAAGCTTAACTTTTTTGCTGCCTTCTTAAAGAAAATTCCCTCCATTGGATGGGAAAAGAAATGTCATGAGATTAATCTGTGAAATCTTGAGACACTTTATATGCTTAATGGGGCCTAAAATGATTTCATATTATAAATTCCAAGTATCCATTGCACTATGAGTCTCTTTTTCCCTACCCGTCTGAGATGATGCATCTGTTGCCAGCAGTATTGCTGACACTGGTGTCATTTGGGACTTTTTTGTACCTTGAATCATTGAAATCAGTGTGTGTTTGTTTTTTCTCATGGAATGAGAATTTACAGTAGCATTGGATGCTGGATTTAAGTACACAAGGTTATTGGCTCACCCCTTACATCTGTATTTTTATTTTTCAATAAACAGATGTTACTAAAAATCTTAGGTTTTAGGTTTCGGAGCCCAATACCTTGCAAAAAAAACGCCAAAATCCTTTCCCAGGGTAAAGTAGACTCTCTTGTGTAGGATTGAAATAGATGCAGTTTCTTAACATATTTCAGAATTTAAATTTCTGATCTGAGTGGCTTTGTACAGCTTCCTGACATACCAGATCATATGTATTCATTATGTCATAACGGGCCTTGTTATTAAAAGTAGTTGCTTCTGCAAAACCTCTAGGATAGTGGTTGCTGAGGTATGACCAGCAAAGGAGGACTTGTAGGTTCTTCATGACAGTGCATGTTATTGTGAACCCTTGGACACTACAGCTGCACCATATAAAAAAAAAAGAAAAAAAAAGCAACATAAATATTCTGAAATATATTCTACAGATAAGTCTGGGTTGGGGAAGGGTTGGGAAACTGTATAGAAGGGTTATTCTGACTTGAAAAATATACATCTTACTAACAATCTTGTGATCTAGCTGTCTGTCATTCTTCTGTTATTGTGGCAGTAGAAGGATTGCCTTTGTCTGGTTTTCTCCCCCCCCTATTGTTTCATCCATTACACTAGTAGTGTACTTTGTAAGTACAACTAGTGAGAACTTAGCTTGGAGAACAAACCATGTGGCCAGTGTTACAGCTTTTAATCCCTTGACTCAATCCATGCTAGTGGTGGATATTTTTATGCCATCATGACTAGGGCATAGAAGCAATACCAAAATAAATAAATAAATAAATAAATATTAAAAAAAAACAAGCCTTGAAAAAGTGGGCCAGACACCTTGGAGAAAAAAAGAATAATTGGCAAAGCAGCTACCAGTTTGTGCTAGTTTTACCAGTAGACTAATGTATTGGTAGAACTTGTGAACCTAAGAAATAAGCTTCATGCGTGTTGCATTTGCCTAATATGTGAATACACTAATAAAAGTTTTAATTCTCATGATGGTGGTTCTTTTTCTTAATTGCTGCCTATGTTTTCTGTTGTAGGTTAGCAATCATTCTAACCCAAGAAGTGGCACAAGTGTCCTGCATGTTGTGGCTGGAAAGGAGGAGTAGTTTAGGTGTTACAATTGTTAAACAGCTGGAGGTTCTGGATCTGTGTGTGTTTAATGGCAAAGGCTTCTACTCCAATTAAAGCAATCATTTTTCTCTTCCACAATCAAATGACATCCTGCTGGCTCAGATGTTTACTTTCACCTTGTGAAGCAGTTAGATAAGAGTGAAAGCCTCCATTGCATTTGGGAGCAGGTTGCAACTTGAATCAGTTGGGTGACCTAATTCTGCAGCCTCCTTACTGTGGATCTGTGTGTTCCTTCAGTTGCAGGGATCTTTCTTGCTTTGCCTTGAACATTGGAACAACATTGACTGCTCCCTTTTTTTTGGTGTGCACTTCCAAGTAGCCTACAAGGCCACAGCAGACACTATCTGTAGGGCTTGTCTATGTGCAAGGCCATCTCAATCTGTGTAGAAGTCACTTGTTGTTTTTTTAACTTCTGTTTAGCAGCACTAAAATATTTTTTCCTGCCATTGCTGTTGCAGTCACAGCTTAGTGGAACAAGAGGACTTCTCTGAACTTGAAACATTTGCTTGCCTGTATTTCATTGAGTTGCCTTTGGCAGTTCTTGAGTAACTTTCACCTACTCCTGTTTCTTAATCCAGTGCCTTTCTGACTTACCCCACTGCTGTTCTGCTCTTCTTCAAAGTTTGACCAGTGCTTGCTCAAGCATCTCAAAATGTGGAATGCCTGTGGTACATATGGAATATGACTTCTCATCCCTCTTCTGCCAAAGTGCTGATGTCCAAAGTACAAATTAAAAGTGAGTTATTTTTTGTCAGTGAGGCTGCTTTGTTAAATAAAATCCTTACCAAGCAGAAGCCACTCGGCTGGAGATACCTTTATGGGTAGCCAGCTGCTCCTTTGTATTGTGAAGCTGGAAAAAACTCTGGATGTAACTGTTGCCTTAAATTTGGACTGGGTTTCAGTGTCTCTTGTCACTAACCCTGGCTGAGCTTGATGCTCATAGGACTGCCAAAGCCAAGCAATCAAAAATCAGGTAGCTGATGGAAACACCTGAGCCTAAAAGGGATTTTTGAGTTGCCTTTTAGCACCTTGAATGCTCTGAGCTGACATTTCAGGACTTTTCCCCCTCCAAAGGAAAACCCAATTTCCTTTAGAAGTTGTTCTAGGGCTGAGGCTTTGAGAATAATGTCAAATGCTTGGACTTTTGCACCTTGAAACTGTGAGAATTGATAGTAGAGCATCATCTGTGTGTTTCCCCCTTCCTTTTTGTGCATGTTTCCTACCCAGGTGGCAAGCTCCCTGCAACAGAAATTCTCTGCTGTTACTGAGCCATTTGCATTGGAGTGTTCCAGGTGCTGTTGCACAAATTTAGAACATGGTGAGATGATCTGTGGTGTTTTCTTATCCTTATTCAAGACCTTATGCTTCATCAGCACTTAACCTCCTGAGACCGATTGCAGGCAAGAAGTGCCTGCAATCAAGAAGTTTCACTTCAGATTCCCTGTATGATCAGCAGGGAGAAGTAAAGTCTGGGGCTCTCAGTTGCTTCTGGTAGAGTCTGTTGGCTGAAGTGCATGAAGGAAATACGAATATCTGCCTTGGAAGGTTCATAGAATCCTAGGGGTTGGAAGGGACCTCGAAAGATCATCTAGTCCAACCCCCCTGCCAGAGCAGGGTCACCCAGAGCACATCACACAGGAACGTGTCCAGGTGGGTGTTGAATGTCTCCAGTGAAGGAGACTCCACAACCTCCCTGGGCAGCCTGTCCCAGGGCTCTGTCACTCTCACAGTAAAAAAAATTTTTTGGATATTCACCTTGAACCTCCTATGCTCCAGTTTGCACCCAAAGGTTCTATCAAAATAGTCAGATGTTTAGGAATAATAGCTTTAAAGTAATTTGCATAGTGAAAACTAGAAATCTCAACTACCAAACTTCACTGAGCTTTTGCTTTTCATGCGTCCAACTTGACTTTTCATGTTGGTGTGGGAGGGTGTGAAGTTTGGGGATTTGATAATCATCTGCAGCTCTAAACTGTTGGCACAGTCAACTGTCTTTAGTTTTAACCTTCAAACTTGTCATACTTGGTTGTGGTTACAGCTTTTGGGGTTGTTTTTTTTTGGCGTTCCAAACTGCAATTTTACTGCAGCTGGGTTTTGAGTTAAAATATTGTGAAATACAGGATTTCACTATATTCCACCCACACAGTGTTTTACTGGAGTATGAAGCAGTGTTCCTTTTCCCAAAAAACAAGTTTGACTATAACCTAATTTTGGGGACACTGAAGCTTCAATACCAGCTCTGAAGAGCCAGTGAGGCACAGTCTTTGTTAGAAGAGTCACACATAGATTAAATAACATGCCAGCTGTACTGGAAAGTGCTTCCAGAAGGACTTGCTCAGGGAATTTAAATTGCAACTGGTCTGAAAGTTTATAACTATGAAGAAAATATTAATGTAGTGTGTTGTTTTGGGTTTTTTCCTGACCACTTAACCATCATAAACTGGATTAAGGGAGGCCATTTAAAAATAACCTTCAGTCATGTTGGTCCTTTTTTATTTTTTGTCTCTCCTGTAAAAATTTCTCTGTTTCTTCTCTTGGGAAAGCAGAGTTTGTGGGGTAAGTTTCTAGTTACCAGATTGTCACAGCTACAAGAACTAGAATCCAGGCTTCAAAGCTGAGAACTGTATTTGATGTTGTATTAACAGTTGTCTCATTAACTGTAATCAGCAGTAAATCTAGTTAGTTGGCAGAAGAAAAATGGATGGTAAATAATGGGTATGTAAAGATGTCTTGATTATTTTCCCCCATGCAGGTCTAATCAGAATGGATTCAGTACAACCCTGTTGCTTGCCTTGTTCATTTTGGAAATATATGCTCCACTTAATTTTCTTTTCATGGAATCATGGAATTGTCAGAGTTGGAAGGGACCTCTAGAGATCATCCAGTCCAACTCCCCTGCTAAGGCAGGATCCCCTGGAGCACATTCCCCAGGGCTGCATCCAAGTGGGTCTTGAATGTCTCTAGAGAAGGAGACTCCACAACCTCCCTGGGCAGCCTGTCCCAGGGCTCTGTCACCCTCACCATGAAGAAGTTTCTCCTCAGATTTCAGTGTCACTTCCCATGTTGAGATATTTGTAGGCATCGATCAGTTCTCCCCTCAGCCCCTCTCCAGACCTTTCCCCTTGCCTCCAGGGTCTGGGATTCAGGAGGGACAGCTTTAGCAATGAAGACTGAAGCAAAGAAGGCATCAGTAACTCCACCTTCTCTGTGTCTTCCACCACTAGGGCACCCACCTGACTCATCAGAGGGCCTCCATTTTCCCTAATCTTCCTATGGATATGCTGAAAAAGCCTCTTCTTCTTGTCTTTAACCACAGTGGCCAAGTTGAGTTCTGCTTGAGTCTTGGCCCTTCTAATTTTCCCCCTGCTCAGCTTCACTACATCTTGGTGTTCCTCATAAGTTGCCAACCCCCTTTTCCAAAGGCCATAAGCTCTCCTTTTGTTCTTGAGGCCCAGCCAAAGCTCTGTTTAGCCAGGCTGGTGGTCTTCCCTGTCA